ATGCTGAAAGAATACATTGATAGAGACTGTCATCGTTCTGTGTTCATGTTCACGCTTTATGTTCATGGTCATGTCTTTTCTTTATTCTGTTTGGTTTTTGTATTCTCCGGTTTTTAGTTCATGCCATTTTAAGTTTCATTGCACTTGTCTCCCCTGTCTTGTGATCTAGTTGGTTCAGTCCGTCTCCCCAGTCTGCGTGCCTACCTGCTTCGGGTGATTTCAATGGTTTCTGGTGTTTCATATTATTACTTCAATTCTCGTTTACTTCCTTCGCCTTGCTTTTCTAGATTACTAACAAGACTAACATTTATATTTTGTATCATAGTCTACTAACCCAACTAATCCATGTATACATTACTAACTAACGAGCACTTTGGTTAACTTGTAAAGCTGCACCTCTACTAATTGTTTCTAACTCAATCTCAGCAATCGCCCTGTTCTAGTCTCCGCCCCTTGCTTGGCTTTCTCTGTCTCTCCCTACGTTTCTGCGAGAATCTCTCGCACGTGCTTAATTGCTTTCTTGCACTCATTGTCTGTGCACTTAGAAGTCCTTGACCAGAGCTGTTTATTTGTCATAGGATGTTCCCTGCATAGCATGTGACTTTCCTTCTGTCTATTTAGAGTCCTCACTGCTGTTCTGACTTTGTCAGAACGTTGATCAATATTCCTTTGTGCAGAGTCTCGTGTGTGCCAATTGATTATTGTTTCTCTTTGACTGTTTTGTCCGACCTTGATTTTTGCCATAGCCCTTTTTTGTCTTGTTTTGTCTTTCTGGATTTTTGACCCATTTCTGTACGACCACGTCTACTGTTTTTGGATGCTGTGTGAATGACTCACTGCTTTGGATTTCGACTATGATTTTTTGCCTACTGTCTATGTACCGTCGCACCTCGGCTTTTCTGGTTCGGACCCCTGCCTGTCTAGTCTTTGTTTTTGGATTTCGTTTTGTGGCTTGGCAATTTTTGTGTCTTCTGGTCCTGACCCGGCAATCAATAAAGGCATACGATTTTTGGATTTCCTTCTCTCGCTTGTGGTTCCTGAACGCACCGTCAAAGACACACTCAGCAAAAGCCAGTCAATGTGGTAAATATAATTGATCTGGAAAATTCTGAGAAGACTGACTGCCCCTTGGAAAATGAAACTGGTCCAGCCAAACTTAAATTCAGACATTCTTCAAAATATTGACAGCAAGTTGTCCCACCTGGACCCTTTTCAACAACAACAGCTAAAGCAGCTCATATTTGAATATAGTCACATATTCCCTGACGTTCCATCAAGGACTGATACGGTTTGCCATGATGTCATCCTACAAGATAATGCCAAGCCTGTAAAACAGCACCCTTACAGAATGAATCCAGAGAAGCAGAAATATCTTAAACAAGAAGTCAAACCAGTTGATGCAAAAGTAAAAGTTATCACTGAATTTCCTGAGCCTACAACTAAAGGACAACTAATGAGATTTCTCGAGATGGCTGGCTACTACAGGAAATTCTGTAAAAATTTCTCTATCATTTCTGAACCTTTGACAAACTTACTGAAGAAAAATGCAAAATTTGTTTGGGATGAAAAATGTCAATTCATTTGACCAACTGAAAGCTATCCTCAAAAACGCACCAGTTCTCTTATCTCCTAATTTCAAAAAGGAGTTCAAGTTGGCTGTTGATGCCAGTGATATTGCTGCAGGTGCAGTTTTATTGCAGGAAGACACTGATGGAGTAGATCATCCTGTCTGTTACTTTTCCAAAAAGTTTGATAAACATCAGAAAAACTATTCAACAATTGAAAAAGAATGTTTGGCACTTGTTTTGGCTTTACAACATTTTGAAATTTGACTTGTTCAGCTACTTCCATCAAGGTCTTCAGTGATCACAGTTCCCTCACATTCTTGCATAAGATCAAAAACAAGAATCAAAGATTACTGAGATGGAGTTTACTTTTGCAAGAGTATGATTTGGATATTTCTCACATCAGGGGAAAAGATAATGTTATTCCAGATGCACTTTCTCGCATGTAATTTTACTTTTCTATTTGATTGTGAAAATTGCACTGGTTGTTATGTATATGATTGTTATAATGATCAATGATACTTTTTGTGTAAAGTTCAAGATTATACTGATTATAAAGCTGTGCTAATTTTAAAAGAAAGCTTTTAGCAAACCTTTCTTTTCTTAAAGAGGGGAGGTGTTATGAGTATTTTGTGTACAGCACTGTACATCATTTGTAAATGGAGATTTGTTTGACTCTATTTAAATGCCCATTATGACTGGTCAGTGATTTGTTTATTTTGGTGATCATTTGGCACCCTCTGGTGGTGACTGTAGAAAAACATGACCTGATGCAATACCACTTCTTTGTGAAGAAATAGACTAGTGCTTTCTAGAAGCTTCTGGCATCTTCCTGCCTGGAGGGGGTGGTATTACCCAAGGAATCCTGTAGATCTTTCCAGAATGTTGCTAGTCTATATAAATGCTGTGATTTTAGTCAGTGGAGGCAGAGTTTTTGTTTTGGCAACAGAGTTTCATAGTGGCATTAGAGTGTTATAAGATTAAACAGTGGATTATTTGTAGAAGTTTTTTTTTTTTATCAGTGAAGAATAAATTTGTTTAAGTTGTCATTGCTGGTTTCTTTGTGATTATTAAGTCATAACAATTGTATATTATAAAGTTATACCATGGTCTGGGTGAGTACTTTTTTCTGATTGGGTGGCAGGTATGCATTAAAACCGTGGAACCGCACAGGTAGTTCGGCTACGGTAGTTTCACCGTTCGAAATTCATCCACTAGCCAACCTGTAACCATAGCAATGTTAGAGCTGGTATTTAGCTGGGTATAACAGAAACCTAGCTACTCATTTATCTCCAGTAAATTTGGCGGCGTCATTTAAGTCGCGTCCTGCGGGGCGGTTATCAATAGGTAGGCTACTCAAGCGATAATGCCCGTAAATATTATAGCAGCAAAGTAATCAGGCTTTATTCATGAAACGATTGTAATTGTGTACGGTCACAAAGGAAGCTAACATGTCCACTTCATGTATAAGCAACTGCTGATAGTTCGCTAGCTACGTGCTGTGACAACAGACTGATTTCAGCTCGCTGGCTCTACGGAAACAGTCATAAGTTCATTGTAATTGCGGGTAGCAAGTTAGCTATGGTCTGCATAATCACGCATAATGTTTTGTTATGCGTAATCTCCGTTTCAGCTGGAATCCGTCACCAAATCATCAGCTGGTAAACGGATGGTAGCCTGCGCAAAAAATTCTTTCTCCATGAACTAAGGTAGCTGGTTCAATTTAGCTTGGCCTATAGAGTATAAGACGGCGCGGCGCCTGTTTAGGCGTAATGATTACCAGCTCGTTTTTTTTTTTTTTTGTGCAAAACTGTCACCAAAAATTTCTGAATGCTGTGATTTGATATTGCTGGCAAATTACCATGGTATAAGCGGGATAATCAACGAGTAGGTGCGCATTACACGGTTTTAAGGCACTTCGCGAGGCAAGCACCCTCCGCCCTATTTATGCTCGACGCAGTCTCGAATGCGCGAAGCCCAGCGCCACAAATGACGAATCGCAAGACCTGGCGACAGCCGCCAAGACGCTGGCGCCGCGAGGTCGCAAGACCTCCAAGATTTTGAAACTTTTTGCAAGCCGCGCTAGTGTCGCCTACACTCATTGGTCGCCCAGTTCAAAATGCTTCTACTGTTTTGTTCCTGATGGTACTGCTTCCTATAGTATTTTTTCCTACTGCCCCCTGTATTTGCGGTGAACACTGCAACGGAGAATGCGCCAAGTATAAATGCCTCCGCGCTCTGTTGAGGTGCGCGCGCAATCCGCGAATGGAGCCAGGCGAAGGTATAACTGAGGCTTTATTCGCTTCCGCGTCGTGCCTTAAAACCGTGTAATGCGCACCTACTCGTTGATTATCCCTTCCATGAAAGATTTATGGTCAGCAACATGTTGTGGTTCAATTAGTTGAATATCTGATCTTAAGTTGACATCTAAGCCACTAATTGTATGTTTCTTTTCATTTGTTGAGAACTTGTCGAAATGTATATGTGTAAGGCTGAATGTCTTTGGTTTCAGACCTGAAATAACCAGGTAGTATAATACACTTGCAACATGCGCACGCATGCCATTTGTTCTTTTTCCTGCGGGGCATGTGCAATAATAGTCTGTAATAGAGTCAGTAACTAGAGTAACATCAAACTCAATCCATATGTTGTACTTAGTTTGACTCCTGTGATGTGAATGTATCTGACAGCGTATAAGGTTATCAAGGTCTCTGTACACCCAAACTTCATAGTCTCCCTCATCATTACAGTGTTCAGCTATGTATCCTGGTGCCTGTTTGATCTGATAACATCCACATGCCAAAGTTAGTAAGTATTCCAGAGAAACTCGACATCAGCACTTTCCGAGGATGGTGTACATACAGCCGTCCTACTACACTGTTACCGGTGAAAGAATTTCTTGGAACTTTGTGCAAACAAACTTGGCATACTGCACCTACTTTTTACCAAATATTTAGGGTGGATCACTTTGGGAACTATATTAATTTTAATGTTAAACTTTCAATTTGTGATGAAAAATGTAGCCAAATTTGTCACAGTCTGCTGCTGCTGTTTCTCCCTCTGCTGGCCACACCCCTTCCACTGCTGGCCACACCCCTTCCACTGCTATTGCTCTCAGCTGAGTCTCGTTACCCAGCCACTATAAAAGCAGCTCTGTTTCACTAACTCACTGCCAGATTATTGTTGCAGCATGCACTACTCTCCAGTGTTTATACTCGGTCTGACTTCCTGGAATCGACTGCCTGCCTCTGGCTACATCCGCCCGCTCCTGCCCTGGTAAACCTGATTGCCTTCTGCCTCTGACTCTGAGTTCTGCCTGTGTGCTTCCTGGTTCCTGCCTGCCGCCTTCCAAGCCCCTGTCCAAGCCGCCTGCCTGGCCACTCCACTGCCTGCCTGTGTGGATACGACCTCGCCTGCCGAGCCCCAAGCCAGCCTGCTGTGGTGGCCCAGTGGTAACTCTCCTGCCTGCGGTGCAGGCGACCCAGGTTTGATACCAGCCATCAGTGCCTGCTCCATGGAGTTGCCAGAAAAGTTCCACTCAAGACCCACAAGCTCCAGATTCTGTTCTGCATCTAATTGCTCTGCACTGCTTCCTGTTTGCCCCAGCCTCAAGGTCATTAAAAACCAGTCAACTTTCATTCTTTCTGATTGTGTTGCTTTTGGGTCCTGTCACTCCCCGTGTCAGTGCAATCTGGCCAGTTTACACACGTGGCCGTTGGAAATTTCTATTTCAGAGTGCATTTTTCGAACAAATATCTTCCTATCTCAGCAGCATGACATCAACTTCAACTAATTCTTTTTTCATTCATTAGGAAAATATATCGGCTACAATATGCATTGATCAGCACATGATTATAATCATTGGTGACACTTTGTGGGGCCCCAGAATGAGCGGCCCCTGGCAAAAACTAAAATGGTAAAAATATAATTTTTTGTCATAAATAAAATTGATATTGCAGGTTTCTCTGGTGGATTCATGAACCCCATGGGGTGGTTCATCAATGCTGAAAATTATTTTGAAAATGTTGGTTTGGGCCAGAAAACACCCTTAATGGGACTCCACCATTGCAAAAATTAAAATTTTGGGACTTAAAAAATCTAATATTGAGGTAACACAGGTGATAAACCTCAATCATGACGCTTTGGACAATAACCCATGATGTGGCAACAGTGGGCGCCAATTTGAAGCAGTTTTTAATTTACCATTTTTCCATGATCACAAATGGCATCGCTCAAATGATCATCTGAAAAATGCTTCAATTCCGTCCAGAAAAGGAAAAGGCAGTTGCTACGGGTACGGCAGTCTTCCAATGCATTTCAATGAAGAGAGGTACGGCAGTCCCAATTTCTAACCCTGACCCCAACCCTAACCCCTAACACAGGGGTGGGGAACCTTATCCAGAAAGGGCCGGTGTGGGTGCAGGCTTTCATTCCAACCCAGCAGCTACACACCTGATTCTACTAATCAACCTCTGGGATTTCTGCTAAGGACCTTGATTAGTAGAATCAGGTGTGTAATTACCTAGTTGGAATGAAAGCCTGCACCCACACCAGCCCTTTCTGGAAAAGGTTCCCCTGCCCTGCAGACACTGCCACTGCCAATGAAAGGATCAGGCAACCATGGGTTAAGTTTGAGTGTGTTCACGCAGGCGGTCGTTGAAAACAAAACCAAACACATCGAGCAAGGTTGTAACAGAATGTGTTAGGATAATTTGCTGTTTTTAATCCGCATATTTGCACTGCTATGCGTAAAAATGCCGACAAGGTTTTCTACGTAGTGAGGCTATTTTGATTCCAACTTCATTTGCTTTCAATTGCGTAGATTCTTGGTTTTTAAGTAGTCTCTAAAATTTGCAAGAGAGGACAAGTCAGGAAATGGCGACGGCTCCATCCGGTGAGTTTTTATACTTGGTTATTTAGCAATTTTTTCTGTTTGTGACGTTTTAAGTAATTGTAAAGAAGCGTAACAACTGCTTCTTTACCAAATGTCGGGCCTAATTCGGATTAATTTTTTTAGGAAATGACTTCCTGTGACACCTTTTTCCTTCCTTATACACGGATCATGGTTTTTTTAAATTCGACCAGTAGAATTGCGCAAATGTATTAAGTCGGAAACGAGGGATACTCGACCGATTAGTAATATTAGTAGTTTATTGACACCCAATTCTCCTGTGGATTCCGTCTTTTTGCGGTTTTTTTTTTAATTGCGTCGAACAGGTGTGGTGCCATGGAATGCACCCCTGCCGAAGACTGCACCCCATTCGCGGGAGCGCGCGCACGTCATTTCATTACAAAAGTGAGATAGGTCACTTTTATTTCGCATTCGCAACCAGTCAGAGAAAAACACTGTTAGATTAGATTCAGTTTACACTGAAAACTGTCAAACACCACTACAACTTCATAATTGCAAGGTTTCTGTCCATCATTTTGATAATTGATATTTTACGTTTTTTGATGGAAAAGCCTTGTCATCATAATGCCATGGATGCTGACAAAAAAGGGGAAAAAAAAATCTTCCCTGTCAGTTTGGTTCCTTACTACAGAGAGTCAAAGTCGGGGGCTAGTGAATAATAGTTTTGTTTTATTGCAATGACTAGTTCAAAATTAGCGAAGCAAAATAATAAGCAAGAGGACAGAAGGAAAAAGGTGCCCGCCACTCGTCTGCGCACAGCCTGTTACACCCCTGAGACCCCACTCCGCTGTGCACAGCCTGTTACACCCCTGAGACTCACCCCTGTGCTGTTTCACAAGCTACGTGAGTGCAGAAATTATCAAGACATTTATGTTTTGCGTAGTCATTTATGTGTGGGGAAAAAGCGCCTTATAATTTTGTGGTGTAGTGTATAACAATGCTATCAAAAATAAATTAGACTGTTGCCGGTTCTACCAGTTAGTCTGAGCAACTGTTGCTAATCGGGAGAAGTAAACTGCGAGAGGTTTAGGTCATTAAGCCGTGAAAGGTGAGGTTACCGCTGGCCTTTGTTCCTGCTGATGGTCCGCCACTGGTATAAAGAATTTTTTGGCATAACTATTGTTTTACTATAGTTTGCATAGTATAACTAGAGTAGTACTGTAGCCATCACATAACTATAGTATTACCTCAGCCAACAGTACCATGATATTCCTATAGTACACAGAACTGTATTGCTGTAGTTTGAATGACTATAGTATTACTATAGTAATACTACACTATCATGGGAAAAAATAGCATCCATTTACTACAGGATAACTATAGCTTGGAACTGTAGTAATTTTTCGTAAGGGTAGTGTCACATACCCATGTTAGGAAGGTAAAAAAAAAAAAAACGGTATAATTGCTTATAGTTCAGGATTTTGGCACTGTGTGATCTTCTCTCTATTCCATAGTGTCAGATATTTAAGGATCAGGTTATGGAGTCATAAACAGGAGCTGGTGATAAGAAATCAAATTCCTCCCTTAATGGAGGTCAGGAGAACAGGCAGCTCACTGGAGGAAACAGGCATGTTCATGTTGTTGTATTCTTTATTCTATACTTTATGATCAGAGGGTGAATACTACAGACAAGCGAGCTGGCGCAACAAACCCCAGAATCGCAATCAGTGATACATAGGTTACCATGGCGGGGTAAAAGAGCCACCTTTGTGACATTAAAACCTTGGCTTTCAGCTCAACACTAACCCACTAATCCTGCTTCACACTGCACCCTCCTGACGTATCATCCTGCTCGACGTTTGCAGTTTAAGTTGGTCGACCGTGACAAGATTACCAGTGACTCCAGAGCCTAATCTGTAGCGTGCAGTTCCGTGGTCACTCTCTGGTGGCAACGTGAACTCAGCAATTTTTTGTAGTGTATTATGAATAGATGCTAAATCAAAAGTTCCCGCGTCCACACTTGCACATTAATGAGAAATTTACGCGCAAAATATTAGTTTTGGGCAGCGCTGAAATGCGACTGGTCAGTAGGAACCGCTAGTCACTCTCACAGTAACGTTGGAAAGTTCATGAGAAGTACGCCTCTGTTTAAGTCGGTATAAACTGGCCATAATAGACCATAAGTCTACTTGTAAATGATTGAATATAATCTCACTCAAAAATTTTTATTAGCAAACAATTTGTATAACAGATCGATTCAAATGTTTTGCAATTAAGAAACTACGTGAAACAATTGACAAAGGCTATATTTTGAAATATGCCAACATATATGCATTGCATGCAATGCATAGTGCAGTTAATCTTGACACACACACACACACACACACACACACACACACACACACACACACACACACACACATACAGTGAATGACTTTTGAAGACTTATTGATTTATGTACCTTTTACTTTTGTGGTATGAAATAATGACCAGGGTCACGCAAAGCCCATTTCCAGGGTCAAGTCCATTCAGTCATCTCTCCACTAAACACAGGGTCAGCAGTAACAACAGTAATGACAAGAATAAATTCAAACAGTTTGGAAATGTTCAACATTTCTTGAGATGCAGTATAGTATATATTTAGTTGTATGCACAACTCTGAAAAAGTTAGGGTAGTAGGGAAGATGTACATAAAAAACAGAGCACAGTTATTTATATATTGGCCTTGTGTTATATTTCATTTCAGACAGTTTTATGAAGAAAAGAAATTTAATGTTTTATATTTCTGGTCAACTTCATTTTATTTCTAAATATTCATCTATTCCTGCTGTTTAGGGATGGGGATAATTTATGCCTACTAATGAGGTAAAAAATGAGGCAGCATCCAGGAAAGACTTTCTGCTTCATGAGAAGAGAGAGGCTGAGATGACCAATGTGCTCATGAATCAGTGAGAAAACCTTTGTAAGTTTGAAATCAGTGTTCCTCAAAGAAAAATACAAAGCGATTTGGATATTTCACCCTCTTCATTACATAACAAAAATATTTAAGGAATCTAGAGGAATTTCTGTACATAATGAACAAGGCGCAAACCCACACTGAATTCCCATGATTATCTGATCACTCAGAGGGTGCTGCATTAAGAACCATCATATGTTTATAAGTGATATAACCATGTCAGCTCAGGATTATTTTGGCAAACCTTTTTCAAATACTGCAATATATTTGAAGACCACAATGGAAAAATGATTGGAGTCACAGTTTCACGTTGTGGAGAAATTATGAACTAAAAATTCAAAATGATCTTAGAAACAAAGCACTGAAAAAATATGCGCAAAATATTAAATATATAAAATATAATAATTATATATAATATTATATGATTATTATATTAAATATTATAATAATATATAATATGTAAAGTATACAAAAATGCTAAATTTGGACTCTGATCGTTTTTCCTTTGATCTTCATTTCCATCCATGAATGCCAGTTCAAACTTCACTCTGTAAACAGTAAGCCCTATGTTAACAATGTCCAGAAGAATTGTCGATTCTTTAACATAACATAACATAACATAACATAACATGAATGGTGAGAACAGGCCGTTCAGCCCAACTAGGCTCGCCAGTTTCTTTATACTATCGTGAATGTAT